AAAGCCACAAACTGCATCCCACAAAATTTAAGCAATTAAAGTGGCCTGACCTGCTGAGTTACTCAGTATTTACATCCAAGACGTTTTGAGATTCAAGGAGGCATGCAGGCCATAGATAACCATTCCTCCCTCATCTCCTATAAGAGAAGAGGTGAGAACTCCTCCTGACTCACGTCATGCCCTCAGCCTCACCCCAGAAGGTGGTAAAATGAGAGAGGGGCTAATCCATGACATCGAGCCACGCACAGCCACCCCTCTCCAAGCTTCCCCAATTACAGTGCAGGGCTCACATTTCAAACTACTTTCAAAATCAGATGCTAGGAGGTTTGGAGAAAAGCCAGGAATTTACAGTTGTACAGCTATTCCTACACGATTCTCTCAAACACAAATCCACTTGTAACTTCTTTTTTATAATATTTCCTTTTAGAAATCATTTACTGAGCAACTCATGTTCTCAAAATGTGCTCATAAGACTTAGAGATTTCACCAGTCTACAGATAATGTCCTCTGACGAATCACAGTAAAGGACGGCTTTACCCTGGAGGGGAGTGGACAGAAACTCGCTGGAGCCTTTTTATGTGCCTCTGAACACAAGACGGACAAGTTCCTGGGCTGCTGAGATGGCACAGGAGGTAAAGGTGCTTGCCACGAAAGGCCTGCACTCAATCCCCAGAACCCACACGGAGAGACCTAACTGACCTCTGACCTCCACACATGCATTGTGACAACTCTCACACACACAAATAAATGTAATAAAAACTTTTGAAGAAACCTTTCAAATCTTGTCTGAGCGCTAACTCTAGCAGTGTTGCACTGGTTCCGCCACACGATGTCCTAGAAAGAGGTGAAACTGTACCTGCGTGAGACAAGGGTGCACGCATCGGGAAAAGCGGTCTTCCTACATACTGGTGCAGAGGTTGTTTCTTGAAGGTGTGTGGAGTCACCACATGACAGAACCTATATTTAAAAAACAATGAATGACACGGTAAGGAGTCGACTCTGTTTTGCTGTTGTTTGGAAACAGGGTATCACGGTGAAGCCAGGTGGCTCCATGGACTTCTGTGGTAGATACTCTTGCCTCTGCTTCCCTGGTTCTGGAATCACAGACATGAGTGGTGGAACTTCCTTTCCCTCTGACAGAGAAGCATTGACTGGGTATTTTCAAGGCGTCATTAAAGTAAAAACAAAGGGAGCTTTGAAAGTAACTACAGCTAGAGAAGAAAAAAAAAAAAGGACATTTTAGTAGTGAAAAATTTTCCAGCTCTGACTTCTGAATCAGTTATTTTATTTTTTTTAAACTTTGAGACAGGGTCTCACTGTGTAGCCCTGGCTGCTAGGAATTAGCTTTGCGAACCAGGGATCCACTGCCTTAAGTGTTTGCTTCAAATTGTCCTCCAAGACTCCCTGTTGGGCAAAGAACAGAAGAGCAAAACAGCCCGAGAGTAAAACCACAGTGCTCCTGAGACCAGGAGAGTAAATGGGAGGGGTGAAAACAGTGTTCCTTGAGCAGAGCTGGGAAGTCAATCATTCCCAGGCAGCTCCCCTTACAAGACTCAGCTACTGCTTAACCACATGACATAAAGATGCCTATGATAGAAATGGCCAGTTAAAAGTCATATCCAGGAGAAGATACTCTGCCTTGGCCCTCCTCTGTCCCATTTCCGGGGCTTCCTGTCTGCTCTGCTGAATGGCGTCTGCTCTGTGGAATGGCGTGTCTGATCTGGGGCTCTCAACACTGCCGCTTGCTGCTTATGCTAGCTTGCTGTTTACTTAATAAATGCACTCTAAACAAAAGGCATACGGAGCATGGTAGATCATTCTCCCTAAGAGACCCCTACCAGTCCATGTACATACCAGGCTAAGTGTTCACTACATGGCAGCTGTTATCACTATGTAGCAACCGGTAACTGCACATTAAGTGAATATTCCAGGATTTGGAAACATCCTGGCATCTTAGGGTTACTGTTCCATCAACCCTGGGGAAAAGCCACAGCAGAGTGGAGAAATCAGAAGGGTACTCTGGCAGGAAAGTCTGCATTCTAAGAGACCCGGAGCAAATAACTCAAGAAAAGTTATCGAAAACAGGGGAGACATGGGCAACCCACGAAACCCTCTGTTAATCTGATATTTTATAAGATGTATTAGGAGTTTTAAAACAGTGGTCTCATATAGTCCAAGCTGGTCTTGAACTCCTTCCTGCCTTCACCTCTCAAGTGCTGAGATGACAGCACAGAGGTGAGCTACAAGCCGGGCTCATGAAATGCATTTGAAACTTCAAGGTTTCAAACCAGCATTCTGTTAGGCCCTTTTCTACAGGAATCACACGGGTCTGGCAGATATCTGAGGAAGACATCAGGGTGGCTCTGAAGTGCAACAGGACACGGCAGGCCTAGGCGGTAGGTACCCTGGAGTCGCTTCCCTCCGAGCCGTGCCCTTGAAAGTGCTTCCCCGGAAAGGGAAGGGAACGACCCCGAGAATGATCTTCCTTTCGGAGCCACGTCCCCACGGGGTTGACAACGGGACGGGACGTCCGTAGAGGGTGGCCGGGCCTCGGGCTCTGGAGCCAGGACAAGACTCCGTTAGACACCAGTCCCCTCCCAGTGACAGGGCGGCGACAGGAAACTGCTGGCAGGGGCGCCCACACCTACCGCCTGCACAGCCGAGCTACACCAGCTACAGCTCCCCACGCCCGCTCGGCCGCCGCCATCGTTTCGGTGCCGGTGCGCTTGCGCGGACACGCCTCCTTAGTCTCCAAGTCCTCTGCAGACTCAGACCTCGGGGAGAGAGCAGTCACGGGAAGCGTGCCCCCTACAGGTGGAGGGCGGTGCTGCGGGTAAGTCAAAGCAGGCTGTTTTATCCCCCACCCCCACCCCTTTATGGAAAATAGATTTTTTTTTTCTTCCCACATATCTTGATGGCAGTTTCCCCTCCCTCTACTCCTCCCAGTTCTCCCCACCTCCCACCTAGCCCCACATCCTCAGGTTTTAAGGATTAGGACACTAATATGTGGGTAAACTATGAAGCAATTCCATTAAGCCAATTGAAATCTTAAACACTTGCGCATAGAATGCATGTTTGGCTATCATCATCGTTTTCTTTGAGGCATATTCTTTCCTACATACAATGGTGACTTATTAGTCAACTTTCGGTTCATTACAAATTTTACATATGATGTGAGGCCACATTCCTAATCTCAGCACAAAGGAGGCTGAGGTCACCCATGAATTTGAGGCCAAGCAGGGTGAGATTCTGTCTTAAAAATATTTTGTTTTAGTACTACCTTCTTCCACTGTGCTTATATACTCTCTATGCTTTTGTTTAGTTTTTGGCTTTTCGAGGCAGGGTTCTCTGTGTAGCCTTCGCTGTGCTGGAAATTGATTTGTAGACCAGGCTAGCCTCGAACTCAGGGATCTTCCTGCCTCTGCCTCCCCAGTGCTGGGATTAAAGGCGTGCACCACGATGCCCTGCACGTACTCCCTATACCTAATAGTCAAATATCCCAAGTCAAAATTTGTATTTAAATTTTGTCAAGGTAGAAGTGGGATTCCACCAGCTCTGACTTCTAGTGAGCCACTAGAGACTGTGGACTGCCCCTGGACTCAGCCAATATGAGAGCACACCGAGGAGATACTTCCTCTCCTTCCACCACGTGCTCCAACCTCAGCTGATGAGGTGAACTCAAGGAAAACCTCAAGGAAAGGCAAGAGTCTAGAGTCACAGGTTTCAGCCATTTGCTAGTGGCATTTACCTGGCTCCTCTCAATGGGAGTCCTGTCCCACACCTTGGCAGAAAGCTCAGTGGACGTCTGTCTTCCCCAAGAGCACCTGCAGTCTTAGAAAATAAATAAAGCAGCTTTGGCGGCGGCTGCTGCAACCTTAAAACACAAAACAGTGAAGGGTTTTGTTTGGTTGCTTTCTTTTTTTTTTTTTTTTTTTTGGTTTTTCAAGACAGGGTTTCTCTGTTGCTTTGGAGCGTGTCCTGGAACTAGCTCTGTAGACCAGGCTGGTCTCGAACTCCCAAAGATCCGCCTGCCTCTGCCTCCCGAGTGCTGGGATTAAAGGCGTGCGCCACCATCGCCCAGCTGTTTGGTTGCTTTCTTAAGACAAGGTTTCTCTGTGTAGCCCTGTCTTGGAATTCGCTCTGTAGACTAGGTTGGACTTGACTCACAGAGATTCACCTGCCTCTGCCTCCCAAGTGCTGGGGTTAAAAGTGTGTGTTGCTGCCGCCTCCAGGCAACACTTAAGAACTTTAATTTTTTTTTATTTTTTTTTATTTTTTTTATTTTTTTTGGTTTTTCGAGACAGGGTTTCTTTGTGGTTTTGGAGCCTGTCCTGGAACTAGCTCTTGTAGACCAGGCTGGTCTCAAACTCACAGAGATCCGCCTGCCTCTGCCTCCCAAGTGCTGGAATTAAATGCGTGTGCCACCACTGCCTGGCTCACTTAAGAACTTTAAATCATAAAACTAGCCAGGTGTGCTGGCACATGGCTTTAATCCCTGCATTCAGGAAGCAGAAGCAGGCAGGTCTCTGTGAGTCTGGGGCTAGCCTGGTCTACATATTAAGTTCCAGACCAGTCATGGTTACACAACAAGATCAAAGAAATCACAGAAGCAGGTGGAGGCTTCTATTTAGATGATAAGTTCTCAGAAAATGTGGGCAACTTTGGCTTCACTCGTGGACACTAGAACTCTGGGGCCCTGGATTGTGGACACAATTTCTGGACACGGCATATCGCCAGTTCTTGACTCCTGTTAAGTCAGCTCAGGAAAGTTCAGATATCACTCTGACTGTTTTCTTCACAGTTGGAAACAGGCAGACAGGTTCTTTCTCTCTCATGACAGGGAGCTTGGAATGGCTTAGGTTCATTTCCTGTCAGTTTCTCTGTACCAATACTGGTGTCCGTTCAGAAATATCAGAATCTATCCCAGGCTGTGCTGATGAAAAGTGCCTAGGGCCCTTTCATCCATGGAAGATCCCACTTAAGAAAAAACACACCACTTAGTCACTTAATTAAGCTCATTTTAATAAAGAGTATAGGAGTTTACAACCCAAACAATTATCCATAAAGACTATCAGATACATGACAGATTACACCCAGAGAGAACAACATAAATCCAACAGCCTGCAATGACAGGCATTACAAAAACTGCTGGGAATGACCTTCTGGTTTCCCCAAGATTGTTTGCAAGGTGAGGATGCCTGAGACCTGCTGACCTCAGCACTCCTTCCAGGCTGCTTACAGATCCTCACTCAAGCAACTCCAAATACTGCCAGCAGAGGGTGCTCACCTTCCCTCCTTGAAATAGGCATGGTCCTTGGCCTCTGTTATTTGGTTTCTGTTCCCTAAAAATGACATCAAATGTTCCATTCAAAATAACATCTTCAGGCCCTGTGGTGCAGGTCACCACTGTCCTCCCAGTGCCACCCACAAGAAGGCGCTTCCTTGGGAAGAATACTCAAGCAATGGCTGGTCAACTCCCTCACCACAGATGCAAACAACTCCAATGCTAAATTTGGAGGTTTGGCGGAGAGAACTGAGTTGTGGTGCCAGCTGCCTGTGGTCCCTCCCCAGCCCTCTTCAGATAATGAACTGAAGGGCTAGAGCTAACCCCGCGAAGGAAGCAGGAGGATGCAGGTCTGCACACACAGACACTGAGAAACCCTTCACACAGGAATCTTTGGTAGATTTGCAGAACACAGCAGGCACACCATTTCCAAAGGAAAATATTCTACTGTCTCCCATTACCTCAGAGTCAAAGTGCTGGAGACTGGACATGGGTCCTTGCAGTTTAAGCATGTGGTATCAGCCAACCATGACCTATTTTTGACTGATGCTGAAAAAACCATTCTGAAATTCCTTGCCAAAGGGAATCTGATCCCCTTTGTGTATATATACATGGTTCTACCACAAGGCAGCACAAGTAATGTTTACCATCAACTCAGGGCTGTGTAACACTTGCCTAAGCCAGAGGTTGAGGTTGCTGAACTATAGCTGACAAAACTAATGGAATAACAAGTTACAGAAACTTTGTAGGTAACAAGCCACATGTAGTTAATATTTAGCCTTTGTGTATGTTTTGAGACAAGGTCTTGCTATGTAGCCCAAGCAGGCCTTGAACTCACAGTGAACCTCCTGCCTCATTACAGGCATGTGCCCCCATGACCAGCACTTAGCTATTTTTGCTCTTCTAGAGTCCGCTCACATATGTACTCATTCTAGAGCTATATAGGATCAGGGGGCAGAGCGCCCTCTGGGCTACATCTCCAAAGAGGAAAACTGGGTCCTGCCAACCTTCCTCTGTCCTTGATTCTAGGGGAAGGTGAACCATTTCACTGTTAGATTGTCAAGGCTGGCCCAAATCCTAAAATGAGATTTTAGAGTAGCCACCGCAAGCTAGTGTGACAGGTGACGACCCACTCATTAGTCGGGTCAAATAGGAGAAAGCTGAGGGAGGAAATTAAGGGAGAGTAGAAATGGGGAGTGGGGAGCACAAAGACCTCTGGGAACAGAACAGAAACAATTTACAACTAGACACTACTTTTTATTCTTAAGCATTTTGAAACTTTTTCTTTAGTGATATTTTATTAGGTTTTCAAGTGTTCTGGTGGTTAGAGCAGAACAAATATTGATTGATAAAGGTTATCACTCAAATGACATGATTTCACTTACAACCCCCAGTGTTTAATCTTTTAGTGAAGCACTGGAAGGCTTGGAAACAGGGTGGCCATGGAAAGTGTCGAGATGTTCCCACCTTCTTCCGCTGGACTCCTGCATACTACCTGTCATCAAAACGTTTGATTCTCATTTAAAAAAAAAAAAATGCTGTAACCAGCAGCTGTCTGGGAGTTGACTGCTATGTGCTCTAAAGGTTGAATGCAAAAGACACAGCAGGGAGCAACATCTCTTTACGGTTGAGGGACCCAAATGGACTCCACTGGAAGCTGCCCCATGCCTGTGGGAGACAGCACTGCATTTCCTCCTCTTACGTTTCCTATTTGAAGTAATGCATACATATCTCACAATCTGATCATGTTTTGATTATTTTCATTTACAGAATAAAAATACAGAATTTCTTATCATCAGATCACTCTAATACTTTATGCACCAGTGAAGAGTGGCTGAAAACACTGACAAGCACATGGTCCAACACTTAATAAATATACAACAGGCCAGAAAGACAGCATTCTGTTGAATGTTTAGAAGATCTCAGTTACCAGATGAAATTGAGATACAACATGGGTTAGTGAGTAGAAGACGGTTCAGTTAGCACACGTGTGTGCGCACACACACACACACACACACACACACACACACACACTGGGGCCTGCACCAGTACATAGGTAGGCCTTCAACCCTACCAGTGAGCCAAGACAAAACAACCTGTATGAAATAAAATTTGCTTTCAGAACCAACTTTCCTCACTTCCATGGCTAGATTGTTCACCATCACATGATGAACAATTTGTGTGCTCTCTCTTGTCTCCTGGTACTGGAGTAAATCCAGTGGTTGCACATGCTAGGTAAGCATTCTACCACTTAAATACAAAACCAGCCCTCTTTAAATTTCAATATTAAGGTCCTGCTAAGCTGCTCAGGCTGGTCTTGATTTGAACTCACAATTGTTTTGCCTCGGTCTCCCAAGTATTGAGATCGTAGGTGTGCCTGCCACAGATGTTCACTTCTTATCTTTTTATTTATTTATTTTTTTTGGCGCTAAACCATGGATTTGGTGCTAAAGAGCTGTATTATAAGCCTAAGAAATTAGTGAGCCATTTTCCATGATACATAAGTTAGCTCAGTTAACAGTGTTCATTAGTCAGCTGACAGGGAGGAACCCAGAGGCTCACTGTGCCAGGCTCCACCTCTGAGCTATGTCCTCGGTCTACCACATCATTCAGGAGTTCCTTAGTGCGTGATGCGGCTTAAGGCTTTAGCTAAAGATATTCTGACTCATCTCTTTCTACTGAGTCAAAAGTTCACAACTTTCTGTGTTTCCTATGAAATATACAAAGCGACTAACACACAGCGGAAATTAAAACAAAGTACAGTACTTCATTGACACTGTTCCTCTTCCTTATTATTAAACTGTTAGAGTATGGTCACTGGCAATTTACAACTGATTCATAGACTTACGCACTCCTAATTCCCCGTGAAACAAACTTTCCAGATTTCCACTCAGGATGGCATCCCACCAGGACACCTGATCATTCAATTGCACACTGATCCTGTAATCCAGACTCTTCCTTCAGAACTCACGAGTTGGCTAGTCTCTTTGTCAGATGTCCTTCGCAAAGTGCCAGAGGAGAAGACAAGCTGCATGTGGTCACACTCACTCCCGAGGAAAAGACGACAGGTAGACTTCCTACTCAGTAGATGAAAAAGGCCTCAAGCCCACACTTCACAAACGATTCAACTATATAAAATAAGGAGTGCATGATTTTATTCTAATTTGGACCTTGTGAATTAAAATGACTGTACGATTAGATGGAGTGATCCAGTAATCAAAGTTAGAACAGTCTGCAGCACGGTTACAAAGCTGATGCTGACCTTGCATTCTAAAATTTCTATTCATGAGATGGGTCCTTGTATGTTGCCAAAGCTGGCCTTGAGCTGCTAGGCTCAGGCTGTCCTGTCTCAGCCTTCTAAGCAGCTGGGTCTACAGGTCTATGCTGCAACCTGGAAAGAGCTTGTGACATCAAGTGAGGACACCTTTGAGGACTTCTCCTGAAAACAAGTATGGGAAGATTGGTTGCAAAATATATTCCCAAACTACTCATTTAACAGAAAGACCAGTTTGTATCCACTAGTATTCAAAACATTCAAAAATATTAACTGAGAAAGCAAATAGCTAGAGAGAATAGTTAGGTTTTACTGAAGTGTAAGGCAGGTTTCTGGTGGGGGCGGGGACCCTGACACACTGCCTGTCATTTAAACAGGTGGAGAATACCAAAAAGAGAAGTACTAACAAAAGTTCCCTTTCACCCTCTTAAGACAAGCTTTCGCTCACTGGCTGGCCTGAATCTTGCTATGTAGACAAGGCTGACCTCAAATTCACAGAGATCCACCTGTCTCTGCCTCACAAGGTCTGGGGTTAAGGTGCCTGCCACCACACCAGGCAAAAAGTAACCATTCTTATGTTAACTGCCAAGAGTCCTGGGCTTTATTCTATTATTTCTGGGTGTACTGAGGACAGAATCCAGGGTATGGTGCATACAAAGCATGTATTCTTCCACCAAGTTGTACAACCAGACCCTGACTTTCAAATTTAAAGGACATCACAACTAAATGATTACAAGTGCAGCCTGGCATTTAGGACTCATTACTGGGTAAATTTTCAGTAATTCTTTTATTTTTGGGGACAGTGTCTCAGGTAGTCTAGGCTGGCCTTGAACCCCTTTCCTGCTTACAGGAGTATGCTCCCATGCCCAGCTCCTAACAATTTTTCTATCACTAATCTAGCTTGATGAACTCTCCAGAGTTCCCCGAGCAAGAGGAGGAACTATGCTAGAAGTTGTAAGCACACACTCTGAGTATGGTGCAGGCTGTCTCCATGAAACTCGGCTTCCTCAGCAGAAACCTCCCTGCAGAGTCATGGGCTTTCTTTTAAGGCACTAAAAATGAATGGTATGAAAACACAGGGATGAGTCAGAGCTTTCCAGAAATAAAAACGCACTTCTGAAAACACAGCCAGTCACCTGTCTGTTCTACTTTAACATCTGAACGGAACAGCTAATTTAAACATCTGCAAGGACAGCGGACCAGCACTTTCTCATTTTCAACTTCTAGAGGCAACAGAGGTGTATGGCAGAGTTTGCGGGAGGAAACAGGTAACGCAGTTTGTGGCTTAGGGTCCTGATTAATGAATTTCATAACAAAGGTACCCAGGAAGGATTCCCAGTGACTGCAATACTAAAGATGCTCTTCCTCTGATGCCAGGGAAAAACAGAAGGACCAGTGACTTTTTTGGGTGGGAGGAGAGGGTGTTGAGATATGGTGGCCTGGAATTCAATATTAAGACCAGGTTAGCCTCTAACTTGTGGTAATTCTCCTGTCTCAGTTTCCTAAGAACTAGGATTACAAGCATGAGATACCATGTCCAGTTTTGGATATTTTTCAAAACCAGGTAAATGGAATTTTAAAAATTCATTCTGAAACCTCATTTTCAACAGAATTGCCCCATATGGTCCAACAACTTCAATTTTACCACGAGAAAAAAAATGCAAATAAAGCCAAGGTTCAAGTCAGGCAAATACAAGGAAATGATTGGATAATGGAGGTAGGCATGGCGGTTTCACTCTAAAAAGTGAACTGTGGTAAGGCAGAGTGAGCTTTCCCCACCTGTGTGCTCTTCTGCGTGACAGAATCTGAGCCATATCAAGACCAGACATCTGTGCACACAGGCCAGCTTGGCTCGTATAGACTCAGTGACAGATCCCAGAATCCTGAGAGCTGCGGCTCCACAGGAGTGAATAATGAGGAGCTCAAGGACTGACTTTTTCAGATGTGCAGTGGGTTTATACTGCTGTTTTTTTTTCTTCCTAGAAATACTTCCAAGAGTATCGTTGAGTGCTGGGATTCATCTTGACTCTTTGATCCAAGCACCTCCCCATAGGAGCTGCTGGCCTTCAAAGCTGTGGTGTAATACAGCCCCTGTTACCAGGGGGTAAAATATTCCTGGATTAAAAAGGTGTCTGGGCAGAGAAGAACCAGAGTTCAGAGTGCAGGTGGAATGCCTATATGAAGGAACAGCAATGCCGACAAGTCCAGAAATGAGCATAAACAAAAGCAGGAAGTGTAACCTAAAGAGCTTCTGCTCTGAGGCTGGGACTGCAAGGTCACAGCGGCTACTCCCTGAAAGGCCAGCCAGGAGTGGTGTGATAGGTGTTGGTAGGGTAGGTGGAGGAAGGCCACAGGCTGGTCTCGTGCCTACGGTTTCTGTTTGCCTGCTTTTGACGGAAAGGGCGCTAAAGAGAAAGGGTCGGCAGCAGGCAGCTCTGTAGTCCTGGAGGACAGAGATGTGACAGACACAGAGCCAGCTAGCAACTGCTTATTGCTCTGTGAAACAATCTTGTAGGCAGCGATGGGCTGAGCTTCTGGACTTGGCTCATCTTCTGGGCTATAATGTCGGGAATATTTGGATAAAGCCTGGGGGCGGAATGGCTTGCAAGCCATAGGCCCGGAGAAGGCTTCTTTCTGGAACTGCAGTCCTCTGTTTCTGTCAGTAGGATGACCCCCAGATTCCAGGGGAGATCCCCGGGGAGAGCTGCTGTCAAAATGATCTGCCACCTGGACAGAGTGGGAGGGGAGACCGGCCTGCTGTGCAAAGCCAGTCACAGGATACTGCACCTGGGCAGGGGGGTACATGGCTCTATCACGGCCTGGAAGCAGGAGCCCTTCACTGGGCTGACTAAGGCTGGCCTGCACCGGCAAATCCTGTGAGGAGCCCTGCACAGCCAGTAACTCCTCCACGCTCCTCTTCTTGGTAAAAGGAGCTCTGGAGAACACGTCCACCTCCTCTGTCTGGGAAGGAGCTATACTGCCCTTGGAGACAAAAGGGGCTTTGGAGAAAATGTCCACGTCATCTGCTGGAACCAGAGAGCTCCTGAAGGGGGCTATGGCAAAGACATCAGGCTCTCCGAGACCATCTGAGGCCTGCTGGTTGACTGGCAAGAACTGGCTCTTTTTCCCGCCTCGTCCCCCCTTTTCTGGCTCAGCAGACACTCCAGGCTCAGTGAACAGGGTGGCTTCTCCCAGCTTCCCCTGAGGAGGTCTGCAGCTCTCATCCTCCTCTTCAGACTCCAGAAGGAGAGGCCGAGACCCGCTGCAGTCCAACATGTCCCCCTCCAGGTCAGTGCCCTCCTCCTCGCTGCTGTGGAAGGAGCTATTGCTGGAAGGGCCCTCTCGGGCCAAGGAGTCAGACTCTAGGGTGTTCTGAGTCTTTGTTCCAGAAATTCTGCAGGGATCTGGATAGAGGGCGAGGCCTTTGGCACCCACAGGTTCTTTAAAGTGCTCTACAGTAATTACAGGACAAGGACTGGGTTCTCTCTGGAGACCTAGAAAAGCATAAAATTTAGAATTAATGTGGAGGCTGGGTCAACACCTTCCGGAACATTTAATGGTCAACCGAGGAAGATACATTGTGGAATCAAATGATAGATGTTGAAAATGGAAAAACAGAAAAATAAAGTCAAGCAAGGTAAATGCACACAGACTGAAGTCACAACCACCATCTCACACTTTGGATCATGATAGACACAATGAGCAGGAAAGGTGAAAATGTTAGGCACACAGACATTCAGGGCAACTAGGCAACACTCCTACTTGCAGGCCAGGCACAGACACCTGCTCTACCTGTCTCAGAGCCAAACGGAAACAAGTTCAGTCATTCCTCTCCACATAAGTCAGACAGTCTGGGGCTATGGAGAATCACTGCCCGCGGATGAACGGAACTCCATGTGCAGAAAGACAGCCCCTCTGACAGGCAGAACACGGCTGTCAGTAAATGCATGCTTACTTGATGACACACTGCAAGCAGTGCTCACAGAGCACTTGGTGCCTGATTCAAATATGGAGGGTACTTTCTGAGTCATACTAGATGACATCAACTTTAGCTGGAGTGGCCCTAGAATTTTGTTTTTAGTGTTCCAAGTTAACAATGGTCTCTGATTAATAAATCTGCCATAAGTTCTTTATGCAGAAATACTATCAAACTCCGATGTCCTAGCCCAAGTGGTAATGTAGGTAGAGGTGCCTCTGGGTGCTCTGGCATTTAAATCAAATAGACAATTATCAGAATGCAATAGAGCTTACCTTCCAAGAAATATTAGCAGGTTAGAAGTATGTCATTGGGCACATGTTAGCAAGAGGGTAGGAAAAAGGCATATGTAACTAAGCAAGAAGAATCCAGAGAAAGGGTGGGTGGGGTGGGGTGTAAAGGGCAAAATATATTTCACTATGGGTTCAAAAAAGACATACCACCAGAATGTCCCAACCCACCAGGATACTAACTATTGGACATCCCCTCCCGACTGGGGCCCCCTCCCTCCAGTGAGTACCTTACCAGGCAGGGATTTCTGCTACGCATTGCCCTCTACTAACATTCTCGCTTCAACTAAGCACACAGCACAGAGGAAGGGGCCACAAAGTTGGTTTATTGGAAAACCAGTTACTTAGCGAGAATTTACACTGTAGAGAACACAAAGAGGGGGTTGAGCATTTTATTAAAAGGCACTATTCAAAAAAAAAAAAGAAAAAAGAGAAGAAAAAAGACACGTATATATACAAAAATACCATTTTCCTAAATCCTGTAACTAATTTTAAAGAAGTGCTTCATTTTAATCAGCTGACAATAAAAAATTTCTAGAAGGTTTTCCCCCTTGCTGTTATTTCCTTTTCTAATAGTTTGGACACAATAAATTCTGAACTCAAAATTTAAGTTGAATTGTTTGGTACAGTGTGGCTTTTAAAATAATATTTGAAAAATGTGATTTTGAAGAGAATGACGTTTCCTTGCATTGTAAGTCTAATGCATGTAGTCAAGTGTTGATACAGAAACCAGAAGAGAATGAAAACCTCCTGCTCGCTCACAGCGTATATGGGCACAACCCTAATTTCCCAAGCAAGAGAACTGAGATTAGACTGATCTCAGAGACACCCAGCTAACAACTTCTGTGAGGGAACTAAATTAAGGGGGGAAAGAAAGAACCACTAATTTTCAAAATAAAACTCATCAAGAAACGTAAGAAACTCCTGAGAGTCCACAGGCTATTTCTTCTTCTACATGTTAGCCCACAGCCTCCGTTGACAAAACTAAGGTACATTTTCCTCTCCTTTCCAAACCTACCTCAATGTTATTGCTTTACACCGGCTGTGCAGTAGAGCAAAGCCACCTTTCACACAGAGGGATAAAGTTAAGTGAAGCCAGTGCTGACTCCTGGTAACATACAGACCAATTTGATAATAACACTGCTTTTACTGTAGTCAGTGATTTGAAGGAACTGAACTTGGATTCACTCAAACCAAGTCATGTACAGACTGCAAATGGCATCTATCTCCCTAGAGACCCAGGGCCTGATGCCTTCAATGCTAGATTACATTCTGAGAACTATGAGGTAGTCACAATGGGACAAAAAGAACATGCCCACCCCATGCAAACTGCTTCTGTCAAGTAGTAGGCTTTGAGTCAAGAACCCAGGAGAAAATCCACCAACTTAGGATCCCTTTAAATTTTGAAGTGAATAGTAAGGTATTTTATATTTAAAATACCAACAGCTTTTAAAAGTTCAGAATCAGCCGGGTGGTGGTGGTGGCCCATGTCTTTAATTCCAGCACTCAGGAGGCAGAGGCAGGTAGATCTCTGTGAGTTCGAGGCCAGCCTAGTCTACAAGAGCTAGTTCCAGGACAGCCACCAAAGCTACAGAGAAACCCTGTCTCAAAAAATAAACAAACAAACAAACTGAAACAAAGTTCAGAATCAACTGGGTGTGGTGGCACATGCTTTAATCCCGGCGCTCAGAAAGCCAAGGAAGATGGATCTCTGTATGGCCGAGAACAGCCTGATCTATACAGTCAGTTACAGAGTGAGAACTTGCTTTAAAAAAAAAAAAAGGTTGGAGTTATAAAACACCACAACATCAAGTCTGAAGGGAGCACCAGTCTCTCACTGTTTAAAAGAAAGATCACAGCTATTTCCTCCATCTCATTGTGAATCTTCTTCAGGCTGGAAAAGCGCATCTAATGGGGCTTTCCTGAAAAGCCTGTCTCCCAACCTTTCTTGGAGGTGAAGTGTGACTAAGGGAGAGTGACCAGGCCTAGCACTTTGATGGCCAAAGAAATACTAAAGAATATGGAGGCCCTACATGCCTAGGTGACTCCGGAGAGGCCTGATGGTGGCAGCGGGGAAACAACAGAGTTCGGGGAAGATTCATAACTCTTTCTGGCAGTGAAAGGTATGGCTGTCACTCACTTTAGTGTATGAATGTGCAGTGAAAGGGCCTTGAGCCAATGGCAGACTACCTCTGAAGCAGCCCGCCTCCTAGGGATCTACCCAACTTACCCTCATGCCTTGGTCGAGTTACATGGCTATCAATGACAGCCACAGCAGATACTTTGTAAGCAAAGAACTTAAAAATAAAAACTAGCCTGTTCTCCTAGTCCAGGACTTGGCCTCAGAGTGTACAAGGCTTCTGTTCATCATAAGGCATTCTCTTATAATTCCCTCAGACTGGATTATGTCTCCTTTTGTTTTCAAAACTTCTAGAAATGACTCCATCTGGCTCCATTTTGAGTAAGTTAACACAAATTTCAGTAGAACTCGCACACCCTGGGGAATTATCCTTGCCATCCCCTGAATTATCCCAGAAGTCAAAGTATGGCATTCTTGAGGATGACTGACCCCAAAAATGCTATCTGACTGACAGTGAGGTCATCAGAGTGCTCTCTAGAGAAGCAAAATCTAAGATTAGAAAAAAAATTGTTATTACTGTGTGTGCACACATAAGCAAGTGCCTCAGTTCTCAAGTAGAGGTCACAGGACAGTTTGCACAAGTCAATCCTCTCCTTCCACCCCATGGGCTCCATCTCCGGTCATTAGGCTTGGCACAGGCACTTTTACCCAAAGAGTCATCTGGTTGGCCCCAAATCTGAAATTTAAATTTCAGGCTGGATACTCTTTAGTGTAGTATGTCTACACTGTAACAGAAATAATGGCGACAGGAAACATCAGTGACAAATTCTTGCCGCAGTTCTGAAGTAACGGCTCGGGTGTCTCATACACGCAGACTGAAAAGCACCCTGATGCGATGCACGGCATCAGTGAAATTTGGTGACTCAGAACCACACACAGGAACCACGGTCTCAGTAGACTGTAGTTCCCACAACCTTTAGTGTTCATCATGAGCTTGAGCATCTGCTTATCCCTTATGCTAGGCAGCAGGAAAGCCCACAACTGGATGCCAGGCAGAATAAAAGAAAGCATTTCTCACTGGGCATAAATATATTCTTGCCATCCTAGTGTTTAATTCAATTAGCATGGGTGGATGAAAGACTAAATTAGAGGAGGACAGCTGTAAATCAGTGCCATTCTGTCACCTAGGTATGGCCCTGGCTAATGTGTGTTTGCAGGTTTCTCGTTCTTGACCATAAGGTTCTTCATTCTCTAAGATGGTCATAGCTCATCAAACCTAGGGACATCTCACAGGTGTCCACTGTTCCTTCCTCAGGACATCTTGCACAGCTGCCCATACTTTTCTAGTCCCTGGTATTTGCAGCCACTAAAGAATGTGCTCAAGTCCTTGTTATATTTCTGCAGGAATATAACAGCTACCTTAAGCTATTTATACATCTAAACATCATGCACTCGTTTGAACAGATAAAAGCTTTATTCCTCTGTATGTTTACATAAGAAATTTGTTTACAGACTTATTTATACAATACTCGCAAAGCAGTGTTCGTTTTCACATTTTACTGCACAAGATAGCTTCATTACATCACTCTGCTCTAAGTAAGAACCCATCCAGGTGACAACGGCGTGTACAACAAGGCAGAAGAGAATACCCACCAACGTGAATTCAGGACACTGCATCAAAGTGAGAACCAAGGAAGGACTTCCCTCCTAGCAACTGTCACCCTTTGGGAACTCTGCATGAGTTAGCATTACCCAGCAGCCTCCAGGCCTTCTCCCTCCCACTTAGTGAAAGGAAACCCAGGGGAAACTACATAGGATATCTTGTTACAGACTGAAATAAAGGCCATCAGGGATTCATTCAGTTCACAAAAGCCAAGCACATCCAACTTGGGGAACATTATCATTGTGGAAAGGAGAGGTCTAATTCTGCACTGGTAAAATTAGTCTCTAGAGAGGGATAGAAATTAGTTTGCAGTATCTGAAGTGTTTCACTAAACACCCACTCTAAACGTTCGGTCAGGCAGCCTCTGATTTACTTAACTCAGTCTTCTGGGTGATGCTGCCATTCACACCCCCAAACTCCATGACAGTGACAACAGACCAGGAAGGTTAAAGACTCTTGATGCCAGAGGAACCTTGTTACAGATT